CACTGCAGACAGAAGAACCACTCAAACACAAAAACAGAAGGAAGTGATCCGTGAAGATTCAACACGATGTAGCACACGCTGCCTTTTGCCGAACCGAACACTAAACTGTTCACAAGAATGTCTTGGGCTTCTTTGAAGAAATCGACACGGGTAGGACTTTTCGAACGAGATACCATTTACCACAGAAGCGAAATTCACAGCGGGCCTGCACCCCACAGGCCGCATCACGCGCGAAACTAGGTCCGGTCTTTGCGACGCAGGCATTCCGAGTCTGTCAACGACTAAAGCGCGAACCACATGTACGACGAAACCGTCCGATCCGACGTCCGACTAGGGTGGCTAAAGAGTTACCATAGAAACGTACGGATGGGCCAGGCGGCGCGCCGGAGCGATACTAGGTGCGCCGCGCGCGGAGAAAACTCGCCCTAGAGCGGCGTACAGCGCTACCGGGCAACCGGGCTGACCGACCGGGCTGCCGTGCAGTTGGTGCTGGTTCGCAATGGCGACGAACACGTTGACGTTCTATTGCGGCTTCCTTCCGCTCGAAAACTGCGAGCTTTTCTTTAGGGAGGCAAACCTCAAGAAAGGGAAGGAACTTATGCGACATGTGTTCGCGGTAGAAGAAATTATTCAAGCAGAAGAACACCAGCTGAACGCCAAGTGTGTTTCGCAAGTCCAAGATAACGTCGTCTACGACGTACGGCTCAAGGTAAACGCTGTTCTTTTTCGTGTTCTTTCGTCCACTCTTGGCGAATTTCTTGGAACTCGGAGGTTACGTTAACAAAGATTATGGTACTAAATTGACTTTTCGCATGCAGATCTGCGGTCACACACGGTCGGTAGTCTCCGGGAAATGCTCTTGCAAGGCCGGAGTTACCGACCGCTGTAAGCATGCCGCTGCTGTGTGCACCTACGTCAATCAGCAAACCGGCAAGACCTGCACAGGCAGACCACAGCAGTGGGGGAAACCCTCCAAAAAACCGAAGCGGGACGTGAAAAAGTGCATCGCCGACCTGTTCCCGGGTATTTTGTTTGGGAATGCATTTGTTCGGCTCCCTTTTTTCATCGTGGTTTCCAGCACATGCGCTGCTCTCGAAATTAAAGAATGTTGATTCATATACTTAATAAACCTCCTTGTACTTTTATTGTTAAAACGAGTGAACGCTGATTCGTTCCTCGCCTGCAGCGTTGCATTCTTTTCCGTGAAAGCAACATCCCAATCGTACTTTCTATGTTGAGAAAAGATGCAATCACAGTCTTTCTCTTAACTCTCTGTGCACAATCATCGTAATATTTCTAGAGCCGCTCCGCACAAGGGGAGTGTTTCAAACTTTCCTTTTTTCTCCAATCACCTTCAACTAGGTGATACAGAAATGCTCATGCCTATATAGCAATTTAAAGGGTAATCATGCCCAATGCATGCTAAGTATGTTAAAAAAATAGGATGCAGCCAAGAGTGTAATTTTGTCTTTATTGACCACTGCATGCCTAAACGGAACTCTTCCTTCCAGCCGGACCCCTCACGTGTGCCAAGGACACAAGGCCAGAGTCGCCCTCCAATGTCATGGCATGCTACGAAGATTTAGTTTGCCCATTGAATAGTGTTTTAAAGGCCATGAAGATGACAGTGGTGGAGCGAGAAACCAAGTCGGTGGTGGACAGTCTAATGTTGATGGTCTCTACTGGCATCGAAAGGGAACACCTAGCAGCCCTTCTTGGAGGTATGGGTGGTGCCAGGACTCTGTTTCACCACACTCATACCGTGTATGACGCCAACAGTCAAAGAACACAAGTGGTCACAGACTTCATGAGTGGTCTGTCCTGTGAGGCCATGATCATTTATTCATCGGAGGTGTGCCTGGCTGATGAAGTGGTTGACCTCGCCATGGTAACCCGTGGCCAGTCAAGCAACATTCGGCAAGTTGGGAGACATGTTTATTTCGGAGAAACGTTTTAATAGGATTGTTGAGAAGGGAGTTTCATCCAAACGAAGCTGGGGTTCCGAAAACTCTCCAACTCACAATTAACTCATTAGATAATGATTATAAGGAAGCCTTTGGACTTCAGTTTTCTGGCAAAGTTCTCTATAGACCGATCTCACCAGCCAGTGTGACTACGCCACCGCTGCCGCAATGCATCAAGGGAGCTTTAGTCTCTGCACGTGCGACAACCTCGCTGGGTGTCTGCGCGTGTGGAGCATGAGGCGGCACAAGCTGTCTTGTGCACTGCTGCCTGCCTCCTGTGAACTAAAGTCATGGCGGCGTTACGGATGCGCCGAACGCTTGGTGAGATCGGTCTATTGAAGGGCTAGAAACTACCAGCATCAGACTCGCCGCTTCATTACTGATTGGTCCTGCGGGTATTTAGAAGGTGCATTAAACTTTAGTTAAATGTAATCACAGGAATGTAGAGTGCAGTATGAAGGTGTCAGACCTTTCGAGGGCAGGGCTAACTAACAAAAATTATAGTAGAAATAATGCTGCATACGAACACGCTTCATCGTGACAACTATTTTGGCTATGCAAAAAATAGTATTTTTGAGCATTCACTCCCTTTCTTGCATAGCATCAGTTCTGGCAAGCAGCAGAATAACAAGGCTTTAATTAAGCCTTTGTTCAAGCAGGTTAAACCAAGTTATCAAACTCGAAGAATTGAAAACTGGCAAGTACCCTAGATTCAGCGAGCCTATAACAATTTTCTAATTATTTAAAATTCAAAACTTTGTCACGTTTGCACCGCTTTTAAACTACACGTGAAACACAATTATTTTTTTTAAACAGTGGTTTGTGCCAAATAAATCTTTTCTCTGTACAGATGGCATGAAGAGTGAAAGTATCGCCTTACAAGCTCAGGCTGCCATCCTATCCGCACCAGGAGAAAGCTACCCCAGGTCTTGGCGAAGAAGATGACAGACAAAAAACCCTTCTCAACTGCAGCCACTCGGTATGGTAAAACGTTTGATGTGTCATCAGCCGAGATTGCAACAAGTTTGATAATATCCAAACCTTGAAGTTGCTGCCGGCACACTTAAAGAGTCTCATACTGATGTTGGAGACGGCCACCTGCCTGGAATAATGTTTTATTTGTGTTCTTTTTATTAACATTGCATTATTCATAATTCTGCTGATTGTATGTAGGTCTTCGAAACGAACCCAAAGCACGGAAGGCACTGGAGCAGAAACTTCGGACTACCATTCTTGAGGTATGTGTGCCGCAAATCTCGAAGACCCTTTTATGACTGCATGCCAACAAGAATTGCAAACTTCTTGAAAGAGCTGGTGCCTTTGGGCATCAGAGCTAGACAAACAGCATCTTGTAGCTGCTGACATCAAGATACATTCTCGCATGCCAAAGAAAAAAAACACATTGTTTTGGCAGCTGGGGTTCTGTTGTCACATCTGTATGACAGGGCCTTTGGTAATCACCTACATAGATGCCATTGAATCTTGTCACATAAAATCATAAAAACTGCTTCTGATCCATAAGTGGTTCAGTCTACCCTACATCTGTATTTTGGGGTGCAATCCAGTGACATGCCAAATTGGGCAAAGTTCGTCACATGCTAAACTTTCGAAGAGATATTCAATAAAAATTCGACAGTGTATTGTCAGGCCAACTCAGCAGCCTGATGAATATGATACCATGAATTCTGTGAAGTGAAGGCTTCTGCAGCCCTGTGTTATATTTGTGAGTATGTTGTAACGCAATTTTCAATGTTTCAAAGCTTTTGTTTTTTTGTTAGGAAGAAAATAAACAATAGTTCATAGCCTGGCAGCTTTGTGTTCGGCCTAACTTGTCCACCTGTTTGGGCCACCATCAGCTGAAGTCATTAAATCTTTCAGACTGGACTTGTCGTGCTGCCAGAGCAACCATGGCTCGCTTGCAGTCCCGACGGGCTCATGCGGTACCAGGGAAACACTGTGGTCGTGGAAATCAAGTGTCCAGAAAGGTGTGAGAACGCACCCATGATTGACAAGGAGGGAAAAACTGTCCTGAAGTTCATAGAGTTCCAGGCTGGCAAGCCGACCCTCAAGAAATCCCACAGCTACTATACTCAACTACAGCTCCAGCTTTACATCATGAACCTCAGTCGAGCAGTGTTTTATCCTTGGAGCCCCCAGCAGGACGACAAGTTTATTTTTGTAGACAGAGACATGAGCTTTCTTTCAGGGGTCGTTCCAAAACTAGAATTCTTTTATTTCTCTTACCTACTTGAGGAACACTCGAAGACGACTTAAATGAAAAACTTATTTTTCCCATATAAGCCAAAAATTGACATACGTCTCTCTTTTCTTTGGTTTTAAAAACATTTTATTGTTTACCACCTAGTGATGCTGGTATGCGGTCGAGGAAACACAATGAAATGTCAGTGAAGTTTTAGGAGAATGCAAAATAACACTTATTTTCCTCTCGTCATTTTTACGTCGTTTATCGTGTTCTGGAGTAAAGAGAAAACATCTTTATTTAAAAATGTTGTGATTCCGCTGCATAATCGCAAAGCCAAAGTCGAGCTTTTCCCCCCACTTGCAGCCGCAAGTGGCAGCCGAAAGAAAGGCAAAAAAATTACGTGACCTCACTCGGCTCTAAGCCGCAGCATAACGCCCGCTAATGTCAGAAGGAAGGGGAGGAAGCGTCCTCCGAGAAAGCACACTGGAACCTACACTGCACCCTGAGTTACGTCACTAGGAGGGAAACCAGGTGTGACCCCGAAGACTGGGAAAGAGTGGAAGGGTGCCAAAAAGGCCAATATTTGCCCTTTTTTTTTTGCAAAACAACTAGGACATTTATGCGAAATAGGTTTTCTGTTCTTTACTTTAGAAGTGTCGGAGGGCAACACCCACAAGTTTTTGACCGAAATCTGGATATCGTTGCACCCCCCTTTAAGGTCCTGCGGCTGTCCCTCTGCAGCCGTGAGTGCTGCTGGCACATCTTTTGCACTGACCAAAAAATACAGTATCTTTTTTTTTCAATATAAATGCACTAAAAAAAGACCTGACTTTTATTTGTGATTGCTTTTTTAATACTGCTCATAGCAAAGTGTTCCAAAAAAATATTGTCTGTACATTTGACAAATGTTTAAAAATTGTATGTCACGCTTTAAACGCTGGTGTTCCCAACTATTTGATACTGTTTTCTAGTGGTTTACGATTACGTCATTTCCCAAACAGCTCGTCTTCATTCTTTACAACTTTATGATTGGGCTCTGTATGTTGACGAGGGCACTGCAGACTTGCATCACTTTTCCCATTTGTGGAATTAGAGTCAGTGGCACACGGTTTGTCAACACATTGTGTAGTTTCAGCCTCTGAATAGCTCTCTCCACGTGAATGCGCACCTGGGCGATAATTAAAGTAGTCTCCATGTTTTCCTTGGAAAGCTGCCCTCCTCCAACATTGAAAGGAGGCATCACTAAAACAGCGCCCTCGTCTTCCATGGTGGTTTTTATAGCAGTGAACCCCTTGTCGCAGAGCACCACATCACCCGGTTCGATAAGTGACAAAAATCCAGAATCTCGAGTAATGAAACTGTCCGAGTGCCTGCCGCCGTAAACTTTCGAAATGAATGACACCATGTCATTTGGAAGGATTGCGATAAGGAATTTCAAAGTGTAGGATCCCTTGTAGTTCGAGTAAAGGTAATGTTGTGCTTCTGGATCTGTAGGGGTTTCCGTCCGGATTTCAGTGCAGTCGATTATAAATGTGCACTGGGGATAATGCTGAACAAAGCATTCCGGGAGAGTGTCCTTAATTGCACACCGCGGGGGAACAAACACCCACTTATTTAGTTTTACACTAAGACAATCTAGTGTAAGCCTGAACACCCGTGAGGCAGTTGACTTACTTACACCGAAAATGGCACCCAGTGCCGTTAAACTTATACCCAGCTTAAGTTTAATCGAAAACAGGGCCAATTTGTCCTCTTTTGTGACATCTGACGACCTGTACCGTTGATCGGGCAGAAGGTTGAGCAAGATGCTGAAGACCGTCATTGTTACACCGCACAGGTCCTGAAGTGTTTGCTCGGACGACTTCAGAGACTCATACCCAAGGAAGCCGCACCTCCTTGCCCACGTCTTTTCAGGATGGGTGACCTAGAATAGAAATCGACCATTCATAAATATTTAAAGCATTGCTCTACTCCAAGAAAAGAAAGAATATTTTTCAATAAATGTCTACTACATGGCTCTATTGCGTTTAGCTTCATTCGCTTTACCTTCGCTTTGAGCGAATGTCACTAACAGGAGGGGCAATGTTTATTTTATGCCCTGCAATAATTTGGCCAGCCTTGAAACATTTGCAACAAAACGAGCATTAACTACCCAAAGTGCTTTGTAGCTGTAATGGTGTTTAGCGTACTGCTCATTAGAGCCTAGTGACATAAGATGGAAGTAGTTGTGGCACAGTTCTCAATGAACATGTCGAGGAGCCATTGACATTCTTCAGTTAGCACACTGAGTGGATATTGACCTTTCATGCAATTCGAAAGTTGCAGGAACAGGTTATTTGAGCACCCTGCTTCACTAAACATGGATGTGGCAACAGCTTCTTCACTGATGCATAGTTCGTGCAACAATGCTCAACTGACAGAAGTTACTGTAACCCACTCAACGAGGATTTACTAAGAAGTATCTGGAACTTTTAATCAGCTTTCCTCATTTCAGCTCTCAGTAACATGGCTCAATTTAAGGAAGTGGATCGTGCAGACCCAAACTTTTCTCTATTTCTAACAATAAATCTGCTTGGGCACCGTCAGACAAGGTCCAAAGAAGTAGCGCAAGCAGTACTTCAGAACTAATCGGCGATACAAATTCAAATGCTTTGGATGAGTGCAGCTCCGGTCTGGATGTTAGAGGGGTGAACAGCATGTAAGTGTGTCAACAAATGTATTGCTTTGTTTTTTTAAGTTTCAAAATTGAATTGTAATTTTCTGACTTCTTTTTCAATGAACCTATCGAACAAGTTATAAGTATGTTGCATTGAGGACATAAAAATCACCTTGTCTGCTTGAGCAACGTGAGTGACTTGTTTGTAGGACTGGGCGTCGATTAAAAATTTTAACCAGATTAATCGCTACCCTTTAATCGATTAATTAATCGATTAATCGGTTGCGTTGATTTTTATAAATAATATATTAAAAATAATGGCAACAAATCGTCTTGCCTTTCAACTTTGAAGACTTATTTTACTCTCTGTTACACGGCACAAAGGACATTTGGAATTGAGGATATATATATAGATCAACGATTCAAAGGCTCACTTATTTTTGCTCCAGCTCCGAAGACAAAGAAATTTGTCCACATTCTCCGACAGGAAGGAAAGAAGTCAGGGCTTGGGCGATGCTTTGTTTTTCCAGAGAAAGGAACCTCGACGGAGAACGCGTTGTTGTATGCGTTTTGGCGGATGGTCCTTACTGCAGTGGCGTACATAGGTGCTTCGCTCGTAGGTGATACTGAAGCAAACTTACGCTTCCACTGTACGAAAACGGCTTTTTGAAGATGATGCAGTGGACTTCCTTCGAGTTAAAAACTTCACCGCTGGAGTTTACGTTAAGCCGAAGCTTTTCAGCGTGAACTCGTCCATTTTTACGAATACTGGAACAAGTAACCATGGCGTCAATGGCGTTGTTAGCTTTCCCGCTTGTTTTTCTGCTTGTTTGTCTTGTCTGGGCAGGATGTGTAATAGATCCTCAACACGTAAAGTTTCGTGGTCGGGCGAGGATCGATTGCGGGCCTGGCTTGTTCGTCTTACCTCGGCAGAACTGTAATGTATATCCTCGAACACGTGACGCTTCGCGAGCGCGAGAATTGAACCTTGCTCATAGCACCTGGCTGGGAACGGAACACCGCTCGGGACAGAACGACCGGATACACGCCCGCGGCGCGGTGCAACAATTTTCGGACTTCGGTCAAAGATTTCTGGAAGTTTCCCCCTGACACTTCTGAAGTAAAGAACAGAAAACCGATTTCGCCTGCGTGTCCTAGTTGTTGCGTAAAAAAAAGATAGAGATTGGCATTTCGGGCACCCCTCAACTCACTCCCAGCCTTCAGGGTCACACCTGGTCGCACTCCCAGTGACGTCATTCGGAGTGCCGTGTAGCTTCCCGTGTGCTATCTCGGAGGACGCTTCCCCTCCCTCTCTCTGCGTACATTAGCGGGCGCTATGCTGCAGCTTAGAGCCGAGCGAGGTCACGTAATCTTTCCGCCGTAGTTCCTTCGACTGCCACTTGGGGCTGCAGGTGGGGGAAAAAGCTCGAGTTTTGCTTTGCGATTATGCAGCGGAATCGCGACATTTTTAATAAAGGAAGTGTTTTCTCTATCCTCTGGGATACGATAAACAACGTAAAAATGACGAGATGCAAATTGTTTTAATCATAAAATCGTTGCACCGCCCCTTTAAAGGAGCTGTGCAACGATATTCAATTGGAATGTTTTTCTCTCTACACGAGCTTACTGGCACACCTGGGACTCAAGGATACTCTCACGCAACGCCATTGGCCAAGAAACTTCTTTGTTGCGGTGTAATTTCAAGGACAAAAACGATCATTTTCATTCAATCTCTCCTTTGCAAAATTTGATGACGTAACTCGGGGATCGCAGTACACCCAAGTGACGATATTTGAATGCGGTTCATAGATTGGACCCGAGCATTGCGTGGGCACTCGGCTTTGGCTCGTGACAATTGCTAGCTCGAGAAGCATTCGGGTAGTGACCCGTGTCCAATCGCTGCAACGACGACAACAGCCGAGCCATAACAATGTCTGGAACTCAGCGCATGTCCTGCGCTTTGCCAACCCCAGCGCATGGCTATGATCAACACTGGCGGCATATAATCGGCTCCAGATCACGTGGCCGCTTGTTCTGGCTGCGAGTTGAGGGGGTGAACGCTGCTCGTTTTTCTTTAATTTTTTTCTGGGACTTCTATTGCGTGGGGTGAAAAACGAACGCGTGTTTCATAGGTCATTAACGTTAGGGATCCGTTTTAAGCGGTATTTGCGCAAAGTACAAAAATTGTTGCATCGCTCCTTTAAAGGGGGGAGGGGGGGGGTGCATGAGTCACGACCCCTAGTTCGGGCAGTTCGTCCAGGATAGAGCCATACGTGCGTCCAGTTGACTTCTTTTTGAGTACCGATTAAGTGATCGATTAACCGGTTAAAAATTTTGATCGCGACTAAAGCCTTAATCGATTAATCGGAAGGTTAATCGATTAATTGCCCAGCCCTACTTGTTTGGACCCATGAGTTCCATCGGTAGCAGACAGCATGAGCTGCAAAGGACCCTTGTGGTACACAGGATCTGTCTGCGTCTCCTGCAAAGTTCGAAAGAAAAAAGATAAAGAGTGTAATAACGTCATCAACTTTCCAGTACGTTGTAAGACAACCACAAAATAAAAGACAACTAACCGCGACGCAAGTCAACGGCAGCTGCTGAGCGTCGACCGCCACCTCAGCTAAGAGCAGCAAGCCCTCCTCTAAAGCGCGAAACACATGTACGACGAAACCGTCCGATCCGACGTCCGACCGTGCAATACGACGGTCGGAGGCGAGGGTTTTCGTAGCATCGGAGAGCGTTCAAAACCCTCGCCTCCGACCGTCGTATTGCGCGGTCGGACGTCGGATCGGACGGTTTCGTCGTACATGTGTTTCGCGCTTAAGGCGGGAGCATTCGTGTCTAGCGAGCTCTCGTTCGCCGACACGTTCGTCAGCACCACGGGGAAAGACCCCTCGGGCGAATGTGGCGGGGTCGAACTTCGAGCAGCGGATCGACTCCGCTTCGCCCACCTGCGGTAAAAGGAGGGTGCGTTTGAGTCAGTGCGAAAGGTGTTCGATTCTCCGCTTCACCTTACCTCTCGTGCCTCTACCGCTTACCCGCCGCCTTTTGTAAGCGTCAGGAAACGAAGTCGGCAGGTAGGATGGGTTAGCCTGGCTCTCGCTCTTCGCGTTGTTTACGAAGTGCGTGCTGCATATTCGTGAGTCTTTTTTCGGCAGCCACGGAGAGCCATCAGGCCTATTAAAAAACAAGGTAACTTAGTGTAGTTGAGCTACTGAATCGTAAGAGAAAGGCAGAGAAACGGTCACTCACTTTGTCCTCCGCACAGCCCTAATCCAGGCTTCTCGGCGGTCCGTCTCGAACCACTTGCCGGGAAATTTCACGGGAGGCTCTTTTTTCTTCGTGTTTAACACGCTGTTGTGGCAGCCAACTACACAACAATATCGAGTGCCCTGTCTTTTCGCCTTCGGCGCGCTAGTATCCATCACGGCGACGCAGCGATAAGCGTACGACAAGCGAACCTCCGGAAAGAGCGTGCGCCGTGTACGCCGCTGAAATGTGAGTAAAGCCCGCCAGGGGAGAAAGCGGCGCTGCATACGCGCTGCGAAACTTGAGCCGTACTGGCCTATAGACCGTTTTATCGTGGGTAGCGCCATTTTGAGAGCGAGAGAGAAAAGGGGAAAGGGATACCGGCGCTTTCCCCCTTTCTGATTGTGTAGAAAGAGTGGAAGTCCCGGATGAGAGGCCTGGCCGGTGTTGGGTGTCTGCTGTGCCCCACATTCTTTCGCGCTTTCTTTTCTGTTTTGAACTCGCAAACTTAATTAGAGTAACGGGCTTCGATGGCAACAGTTCGCCGGTCATCGGGACACCATTGCTCGGTCATAGGGTGCACGAATAACGACAGAAAGCGTCGAATACTGTCCGAGGACCTATGTAGCTTGCAATGAATCCGGCAAGGCGAGAGCGGCTGCAGTGTCTTTAAGCTCCATCGCTTTCCACATGACCCCGGTCTTGGCGGCAGTGGATTGCGTTCGTAAACCGAAAAGACATTTCCTCAACACCATCTTCTCGACTGTGCTCGGAACAGCTTGTGAATGGAGCGCGCACCGAACGCTGTACCGCCGATGAACATGGGGTACGCTCGCAAGGTGCGTGCCAGTTTTCTCGTGATAATTGCTGTTTCAGCTTGTAAAATTTTGTAACTGAATTTATCTTAATATTGATAATTTGCAGTGGTGACTCACTCGATTTCATCATTTACAATACTTAGTTGAAGGCTTATTTCCGCCGCCGGGTAAGGCTAGAAATTGTTGAAAAGGTAGTTCTATCGGTTTTCCTGAATAGCGATCCTATGTGCGATACCAGAGAGCCGGCAAAAGCGCTCCTTGGAGTGCCGCTGGTGGGTTGTTTGGGTTGTTTCCGTTGATTGGGCGCTTTGAAGTGCTGGATAGTCGCTCCAGGGTACGACTCGTGTGTTGCGATCTGCGTCTTCGAGCCCAGTGTGTACGTTTCTTTGTTCGTGTCATGGCATCCGCCAGTGCGGCAACGGGGGGAACAGCGGCAGCGAACGTGTCAGTGATAGAAATCGGAAGTTAGTACTCAAAATATTGCATCAAATAGTAAAATAATTCGTGGCTGCTTTGACGCTTTCTGCGGTTCGATATAAGCACATCTAGAACGTCTTCGTCGTTCAGCCACAATGAAATATGAGAACACGGATACGCAAGATAGAAGCAGCGCAGCAAAACGATCTGTAGCAGCTCCGGGTGTTTACAAAAGTTAATTGAGGTTCCCGTTTCGTGTATCGCTATACTCTGTTTCATACTTAGCGTGCAACGCTGTCAAAGCTACTGGCACGAGCGCGTGGCTTCATCTATGGTTTTACTTGCGCGAGAACGCGTGCAAACGATCAAAGAGATCAAACCCCACGCTCGCGCCTGCTTTGACAGCGTTGCACGCTAAGTATGAAACAGAGTATAGTTCATTACTAAAAACGGCTGCGTTGAAAGGGGCCTATTGCAAGCAAAAATTTATGAATGGTTCATCATTTCCAGTCACGCGGAAAGCGGTGGAGCTTCCAAACATTGCAGCCGCACGTGCCTAGCCGAATTCCATGCAAGCTACGAGGTCCTTGGGCGGTATTCGACGCTTTCTGTCGTTATTCGTGCACCCTCTGACCGAGCAATGGTGTCCCGATGACCGACGGACTGTTGCCATCGAAACCCGTGGCTCTAATTAAGTTTGCGAGTCTAAAACAGAAAAGAAAGCGCGAAAGAAGTTGGGGCACAGCAGACAGCCTACACCGGCCAAGCCTCTCATCCGGGACTTTTACTCTTTCTACACAATCAGAAAGGGGGAAAGCGCCGGTAGCCCTTTCCCCTTTTCTCTCTCGCTCTCAAAATGGCGCTACCCACGATAAAACGGTCTATAGTCCGACCGCGCAATACGACGGTCGGAGGCGAGGGTTTTCACCGCACTCCGATGCTACGAACACCCTCTCCCCCCAAAGTCATTCCGGCAGTCCGCACGTCGGATCGGAAGGTTTCGTCGTACATGTGTTTCCCGCTTAATGCGTCATCCGTCAAAACACGTGATCACGCTTCTGCCGTTACCCGCGCACAGAGAGCGGATTCAAGTCCGGCGTGTACGCACCGTCACTACGCCTTCAGCTTAGGGAGAGACAGAAAAAAGAGAGAAGGAGTACAAAGCAAGCAGGCCAGAACGGGGGTGGGGTGCGCTTACAAAGGCTAATCTTCAGGGGCATCTCAACAAAAAACGGAGCGAGAGAATTTGTCACTTCTACCCAAGATTGATAGTGCAGTAGATGTTATGCGTGACCTTGTGCTTTAGGCAGGTTCCGTGCTCTGCCTTATTACCAGCTTCGAGACAGTAGTCACGTGACCCTAACCGGAGACACGATTGGCCTTAAACACGCATAGCGTCTACCCTGCTGTCAATACCGATTTAACAGGACAGCTCTTTGAAGGTCAGCTTTCGAACTTCTAAAGAAACTGTCCAGTCCAAAAGTGTTTCTAAACGGGGCAAGTTTGGAAACAGTATGTTTTGCGTCGTATAACTTACATTATAATTTAAAATGAAGAACTAAGCGCGACTATTTTTTGCGCACGATGTACACAAATATATCTATAAATATATAAATATATTTTTTATCAATAAATTTAAAACTGTTTGTACACTGTTAGGTTCGCGTTTTTAAACTTCAATTTTTTTTACGAAAGAGTCACACATAAAAGACACCCCGAACTGCACATCGTCCGACTTTCAACACACGATGAATCGCCGACGCTCGCAGTCAGAAGGTTGCGATGCTGCGGGAACGGTTTCTGAAAGATGCTGCGTAGGGTACGCCGGGCGCAACGGCTTCGCGACCGTTCGAAGTGCTAATGATTCGCGACAACAAAGTAGCGTCTTGCAGCTTCAGTAATCTAACGGGGCTCGAGAGTCCCACGCTCACATTTCCGCAGAGCGAGCGCGGCCGGCCAGATCGAGGCGCAGTATGCTCTCGCGTCGCGATTGCTACGTCGTTGCTCTGCCTACACTGATGACATGTGCACTGGCAGTCAAAGCAACCCTCTCGAGACTTCACTCGAGTTTAAAATAGACCCCTTTCAAAAAATCTGGCAACAGCGAAAATCCGCTGAGCGAGTCCAACAACATTGGGCGGCCGGCGCCATTGGGAAGGACCCTGTTGCGGCCGGCATCGTTGTTTTGACTGTAGCGTTCTTGTTTCGTCGATCCCTTCGCCTCTGTATGGCTGCAGGTAGCGTTTTCCCGATCACGGGTTGGGTAAACGACCTTTCCCAGCTCCCAGCCGTTAAAGATGATGAGGTATATCGCTTCTTCAAGAGCCGATCGGACTCGGAACGACGATTCGACAGAAGTTACAACTTTCTCGTTGAGAGGTTCGTGGTCGCCGCATCTATAAAGGCCAACTACGCAAGAAAAAGTAATTACTAAGATCCTTGTAGTTACGACATCAAGCATGTCATCAAAAAATTATAGGAACCGGTTATAATTTACAGGCTGTAGTTAGAAGTTGCCAGTACTCTCCGGATGTGCGACAAAACAGGCGCAGGGGTCCCGCTTCGCTGTCGCTCGGACAGTCGCGCGATGAAGCACACCGCATAAAAGCGACGAGCGAGCGACCAAGGCGATGAGCGTCGTTTTCTAGAAATCCCAAACCAAGCGACGCAACAAGCGACAGTGAAACGTTTTCGTTGCTCGTGGCCGACTTTCGTCGCTTGTGTCGTCGCTTGACTCGTCGCTCGTCAAATCGGGTTTTTTTACTTGGAATTAAGACCTAAAATTTCAATGCGCAAGTTAACCAGTAAAGGACGTATTCGACACAAGTTCCTACTTGATGCGTCGAGTCCCTTTTTCTTGAGGGGGATTTTAGAGTTGAAAAATGTAGAGCAGCAAATTTTGCAGTGAAGCAGAAGTTGCAAGCGCGTGCATGTTGCTTTGCATAAAGCACGCGCTGCACAGATGTCTGCACTACAGGCAGGTTAAAGCGTCAGGTCGTATGGCTTCATGCGTACCTAACATAATTTACACGCGCAAGTTTGAAGCACCGCGAGCTCGTGCATACCTGAAGCTAGGCGCTCGCAAAGCTGTCACGTCCACAAGCGATACCACGAGCAACATTATATTTGTATTTGACGCCTTGATTTCTTCAAGCTAGCTGAAACTTGAGAACTCCACCTCCAAACGCAAGAAAGTGAGATTAAAAACACCTGACTCAAACACCCAAGGAAGCGTAGCGTGAGAACGGTTCGTGTTCCGTTTTTGCACTTCAGCAGGGAAACGTTTGCGCGGCTACGCCGCCGTCAACCGGTAACGAGTACATTTCCGAATACGTACCTTAACGCCAGACTTGTCCAGATACCCACTCTGCTTACAGAGGGGTACGCAGCAGTACGTTGGCATCGTGGGCAGGAATTGATAGCGTCTACGGCCAACGCAGCGTATGCAGCGGCGCGCACTATCCTGCAGCATGGCGGCTGCCACTAGTTGCTCTTGCGTACGACAGGTGGAGCTTTTTTCTCTGATGGGTCTATATGACTTTATAGCGCGATAGACTCTCGTAAAAATACAAGTAGAAGTCACTTCGGTTGCGGCGTAAGCGGCGGCTTTATGTTTGTTGACACCTGCGTCGACAATGACTAAATATGCACGGAAACATTAAATATAAAAAATAGAGCACGCACAAAGAAATACAAACATGGCAGGGTCATGGACAAAGATTAGACGTTATCGCTACGTATACATACAAAATGCATTGGAAAAAACAAAAATACTTAAATCTAAAAAACGGAATTTAGTTGTCACCGCCGAGGTAAGGCAATGCGAAGGGAGAGAGGCCATCAAAAAACTGCAATAGTCCTATAGGCAGCTAAGGACGTATTTGTGATCGCGGTTATAAAGCGCCGGCGACGTACGCCCCATGAAGTTGGCTAAATAAAATTCTGGCCCGAGCGAGCTCATGAATGACTCTTTTTCAATTTCCTACCTTTGCAATGCAAA